TTCGATGGTAAATTTTCCCCGCATATGCGTCGCCATCTTTGACGAATGTCTCCTTAATTGTCTTGTAATCTGCTACAATAACGAACGGTAAAGCACCTAAACATCGCTTTCATGTGATGCAGTTTGGGAAATAGAAGACTGAACGTTCATTACCAATCCAGTAGGTGTAAACTGGGCCATACTTCTTCTTCCACGTATCAAATACATCATATCCAGGTTCATGAGCAAGCATTGTGTGAAGATTTCCGAACAGAGGAAGGGGTAAAGGGCCTGAAAAACTCGAATTATTTCTAATGAACATTTTTCAAAACCAGAAAGCTAGGAGCTGTAGAAGAAACCACTGGACCGAGCGCATACATACTTTGCGGCGCAAAGGCTGCAGCCGGCAACTTGCGCGCTGGGTGCCAAAGCAGTTCTGTGTGTTCCCTTCTCCGCGAAAAAGTGGTAGTGTATGCAACTGGGTAGGCACCAGGACACGGTCTGCCGGTGAGGAAAATTTTAGCCAAATACGAGCCCTGAAGGAACCCTACTTTTCTACTACCTCGCTCCATCCAGAATGCCATCCTAAAACGCTGCCATGCTGAAATTTCCCAACTTTTCCTGCCACTTTTCAGAAGACAAGAAAACGTCACTGGCCTGGTGGTAAATGTCGTCTCTTCCAGTAGAAGTGGTAGAATAGAAATAGGAATAGAGCAACGACAAGGTAGAACATATTTCCTTGAATAAGTAAGATTTGGTCCTATCGCAAGTTGACTACGGAGCACACAAATCGATGTACCTGGCAGATACAGAGAAGAGAACTTCAGAACAGGTTATATGAATAACCTCAACTGTAATAATGTTACTGCCGCATTAATGGGAACTAGGGGGAAATAAAACCAGGAGCAAAGTTCTGAGCTAATTCGGTATTAGGGTATGGTAAAATGGTACTATTTAGATTGCACTGGACGTACAGGAACACTAACTCGTACATCGGCTTGCCCACGCAAGCCATTGTATGGACGAGATCACACTTCAGTGAGCTACTGCCATTCTGAGTGGAGGTAGGATGCATGCCACATCTTGAAAGGGACAATTGGTGTTGAGCGAGCTGGAGCCGCGCCAACCCCCCCCCCCGCTTCTCCCTCCCGCCTGACACGCCCCAGCATTCGCATCTGCTAACTGTGACTGTTGCTCGAAAAATTCTCCAAAAAATTAAGAAGGAGTGAATCCAAAATCTTCAGCATTTAACTTTTAGGTATTTCCATATAAAAGCAAATTAAGCAATGGGCTCGGCGCTGCTGATCTCTCTGATATACTCCAAGCATTCGACTTCCATTTTAAGAGGTAAGAGAATGGAAGGCTGCTTGCAGCGCATAAACTAGCCACATATTAGGCCGGTTCTCTTCCAAGGCCTTGCATGGGAATCATTTTTGACGAATTCAGAGCTCTAATGGTCCCAAATAAGTCCTCGAGAACCGTGGCCGCTCAAACCTACGCATCTCATATACAGGATTTACCAGACGCTTTCAATGAAACCGTGAAGAAGTGACGATTTGTAGTTCATAGTGATGTCCGTCCTCATATATAGAACTTAATTGAATAATAACAGTCTTGTATTCTCCAGAACAAGCGCGATACTGATTAGTAGACCTCGTAGAAATCAAGAACTATTTCAACCAGGCAGGATTCCACCCGCGGGACGTTGTCGACGCGACGCACTGCTTCTACGCTCTGCGCTACTGCGCGGAACGTTATTAGCGGTTGACTTCACTTTGGAATTATTTGTTCACTGCTCGCCATCCGTTTGAGCTACTTCCCATTTATGGACTCGGATAGTCGTGTAAAAGCAGTAGAAAGTGTGCAAAATTCGAGAATATTTGGAGAAGAAAGAGCTACTTTCCGTGAATTTCCAAAAAAACCATAGATATAAAGAGTGGCAAGATATACAAATAGCAATAAGGGGTCAACGAAATTCCCAAAAAAAATTTAAAAATGCGAAATGATCTGAAGGTGTTGTGGATTCACAACCCTTCAAGTAGTATATTATAGAGTCAGCCTATCAGAGTGAATGATAACACATTAGCCAACTCAATGGTACTCCCAAGATAAGCACCCCTTGAAATCATACCGCAGGCATGACCTGGCGGTATCGTAAGTGTGTCATTGAGTAGATACTCTATAAATTCCCGTTGGCGCGGTGCGCTCTTTTAACTCTTATTTTAAGTACCGCCATCGGTACGATACCTGAGCACCGCCCACATTTGCCTGTATATACTACACCTTTACGGCTCACGCATTTATGTCGGTCATACGGTTCGGTAAACGAACACGGTCGTCAATAAATCTTACGGTGCAAGTACTTCCATTGGGTAAAACACCAAATTGGCTGCCTCCAGCTTAGGTGTTGAACCCTCCGCCCCTTCTGCGCTAGCTCTCGTCAGTGAGAGACAGAAGGAAACCGTCAAAGTACTCCCATCGACTCCGACCAAGGACGTGGGATACTTAGACGAAGACTCCAGAAGTTTTCACGATCCGCCCAAGGACGTGAATTATTCAACGGCCCGTTATATTAAGCGATGTTACCCGAGTTCCTCCAGAAGTGCCGGAAACTCAACGCTCAATTGTCATGCGCTAGTTCCTCGTCAAAGAGAAACAGACAATTGAGCACGAATCTCTTTTTCCAACTCATTGAAAGAAACTTCGAAGTTTTCTCACGACTCCGACCAAGGGACGTGAGGAAGCCAAGCTTAGTTGTCTGCGCTAGTTCTCTTCAAGAGAAACAGACGACTGAACACATTCTTTCCAACTCATTGGAAAGACTCTTCAAAGTTTTCTCACGACTCCGACCAAGGACGTGAGAAACTCCATCGAAAGACCTATCGTACTTCCTCTATAGCAGGGAGCGCGGTATGGTCAAGAACCAGTTTTTCCTCACATACAGAGAAGAAAAAACTCGGAAGTTTTCAACGCGAGACTCCTTCAAAAGGAATTCCGGAACCGCTAGTTCGTGCGTCCTCCCAGAGGAAGCCGAGAGAAGAGAGAGCATACAGAAGACCCGCGTGGCAGGAAATATCACGGAACCATCCGGAAACCAAAAAATTCAGCCGAATCCAGTTGAAAAAAAGACGCAATCACTCATACTGGTTGCGAAATACCAGAAGAACAACTGGACACGAAAAAAAATCACCTTTTCCTCTCTAGAAAAGCCGACGAGGACAAAATGGCTGAAATCCAGTTGTTCAAAACCAAGATTACGCTTGCGTGCAAGCTCATACGATCAAGCGAGTCAGATCTGAAGCAGCTGGACCTAACCTTTTGCATTCCCCTCTTTCAAAAGAACGATAATGTGAAGCTTTAACAATCAACAGAGAAAACGGCTCCAGCTGACAATCACTTGATGCCAACAAATCAAACGCAAAAAGAGCATCACGACACTTAAAAAGTTGAAACGCTTGACGTTGAAAAAGCAATCGAAGCAATAAGTTTGCGATCGGAGCAAAAGGAACGAGAGAAGCTAATGCTGGACTTGAATAACCACCTGGAACTAGAGTCTAACTGCTTGGAAATCGAGACGCTTCAATGGAATGTGCAAGATCAACTTCAGAAAGGAGGAGCTGGCACAACAAGCCTCCCTGATCACGGAAGCTTCTAGTGTCACCAACCAGGCTGTCAGCAGCCAGAGCAACTCATTCAGCGGAGCGGACACTGCCAACTCGTATGAGCGCAGTGTTCGTGTACGCCCGCCCTCTGCTTGAAGGTCCGAACATTTTCCCGGGAAAGTTTAGAAGAGTTCAAAACACTTTCTGGTCTGTATTCGAGTCCTCATTCATAACGATGCGGACTTCAGCGATCAGGAAAAATTCCTTTTTCTCAAACAAGCAGTGAAAGGAAAAGCAGCGGCCTCAATCAGCTGTATTCCCGTCATTGGGGATAAATACAACGCCGCAGTGAGCATTCTCAAAAAACAATACGACAGATCGTCTAGTATAGCGGACATCTTGATCAACGAGATCGAGCACCTACCATAGGGGTTCAAAGGAAGCTCGACAAGTTGCCGCAATACGCTCAGTGCCATATCGTCTCGCATCGTACACCTGGAACAAGCTGGAGTACCAATGAGCGCAGACCGAGTATGGAGACGTCTG